AAACTTCTTAGACAAAAGCAGCTGAAAGAACTTTGATAAAACCTTGTTCTTGTGCACTTACAAACATGGATATCTCTGGTGACCCACCTAATTTCCTATTTTGTTGTCTATTTTTAATGCTGTGAACCTCGTACCACATCCTCCATTCATATCAAGAGAGTGGTATGATACCTTCCCTGCATAGTTTGACTAAATAATTCTTCTGGGTCCATGGGACTTCCGTAAGAGGCTAAACTTTGGATAGCTTCCAGCAAAGCTTCTAGACGTGGGGCTGATGTAACTCGGAAGAACTGACCTAATGCCTCCAAAAGGACTGCTGTTAGATAGGAACATGGGACTTTCTAATTGTTGCACCTGATTTCTCTCCTCTCAAAACTGGAACTTGAAAATAACATTGCAACACCTAACTTTAAAAAATTACCTCCAAAAACACTCTAGAAATTAAGACCTATGTGTAAATACACTGAGCTGTAAACACTTGATGGTTTTAGCCTCACTGCTTCTACTGAAATGCTATTCCACATTCAGGACTGAATGACTTACTGTGGTAAGTTTGGGGTGTCTGTATAGCCTGTGACTTTGCTTTCCTACTGGACTTCATCTTTTCATGGCATTCGACTATTTCCTTATTTTCAGTTTTTGTCTTGCAGATTTACATGTTTCAGAAACTACAGTTAGGTATCACATGGCTGAACCTGCACATCTCCTCACTGAGAAACAAAAACCAATTTTCTGAATTTGTTCACAGAAAAGCTTTATTTTCTTCTCATCTTTTGCCGTAACATTAGGGCACAGCTGTTATGAACAATCCTACGATAAAGTGGTGTTAGGCAGGCAGGGTGTTAAACAACAATCACAGTGTTAGCAAGTATGGTTATTTTCTATCATTTCAACCTTTTTCTTACTTGAATTAATGAACAAAGCTGTTCTGCTTGTCTTACCCTGTCTACATTTGTGCCTGTTTAAGTGCTTGAATGGCTGCTTAAATTAATAAGTAATTTCTTTAAATGTTGAAACTGAAGTGTTTGCACAAATATGTAGAATAAAAAACCCCAAATTCTCATTAAAAATATTTAGAACGTGATACTAGAGGCAGGAGATTTATCCAGTGAACTAAGCATTTGTGGAGCATTTAATTAAAAGGCTTCAGTCAGCAATGGTATTAGATGTGGTAATTATGGATTCATCTAAATGTGTAAGATTCTCTGCAGTTCTAAGTATAATTTTGACCCATGATAAGACCTAGGCCTTGTTCTGATTGTCCTTCATAAGTAAATGCTGTAAGTTGAATTCCTTGTACTCAAACACTCTTCTTTCAGATGCATGGCACACCTGAGATACCTTTAACACTTAATTCAGTAAAGCAAATCATTAAAATTAGGAGAATTTTGTATCTTATCTAGTGATACTTATTCCAAGTCAAGTCTACATTTTGAGAATTGTGACCTTCATTGCTTAAAATGTGGAATCCTTGTGCATAAATATATTAACATCTCTCAAATATCAGGATTTCACACAGGAAATGTATACAAAATATTTATCAAAAATAAACATTTTAAAATTGTTGCAGGGATAAAATGAGAGTGTATGAACTCCCTATAGTAACTAAAAAAGCATGAGAGGCTTGATTCTGAACCTTTCTGATAGGGAATTCACTTTTTTGTTTCAACAGGTCATCTTTCCAGTGAGAAGAATGGTGTTTGTTTCAGTGTACAGAATGGTGATGTGTGTCTCCATGACTTTTCAGGCAAACAACTTGTATTCCAAGACAAGGATGATACTGGCAGCCAAAAAAGCCAAATCTCGCTCAGAAGGACTTCAAAGAGAGGAAGCCTAAGTTCTATGGAGAAAATGTGATTTCCTTTTAAACAGAGCATTGTTTTACAGTGTGAAGTAGAGTTTCACTTTAGCAGTTTTACATAATGTGAGCAGACCAGGAACTGGTTTTATTTAATATATGGTACTGGAACTTCAAGGCAGCCATGCAATGGATTGACAAGGACAATTCTATTAAAAAAAAAAAAAAAAAAAAAGGAACAAATTTTTTTGAAAAGGTCTTGTTTGTCATATTACAGCTGGCACACTTCCATTTTGTTTCTTCATCAGAGTGGGGTTTTTGAGAAGTTTTCTAACATTTAAACAAAAGTTTTATTTAGACTTTTTTTTCATTGCAATTAAGTTTATCTGGATATATAATACTTAGTAGTATTGTATAAATGTAGAAAGTTACAATTTGCTACACTGTCTTCCACTTTTTATATGTTTCAGTAGCAGAATGCAGTGATGTACATAAGCAGAAAATATCAACCTTTAAGCATATTGATAATACTTTTATATTTATTTCTTGTAATATAAATTTAAATATACCTATGTATAGAAAAATAATTGGTATTTTGTTTGTAACTTTTATTGTGAGTTTGCATTTTTCTTTAGTTAATTATCTTTAACATGGAATGCTACAAAACTTAATTTGTCCAGTAAGTGGATCACTTACAGTGGTTTGAATATATTCACTAGATGCAGAGCTGTAAATAACAAACACAATTGGTCTTGAACCTTTAGCTACCTTTTAGTACACCATAGAGGGATAGAAATTGGGTATAATTCAAGCAGAGTGCCATGAATGGAGTATTAGTCAGTAGGTTATTAAGTACAACTAAGTTGTGTTGGTGGCTTGAGTGAAGTCATCAGTTTTTGCCATTGATTTCACCAGGGTCAGTATTTATATTGAGTGGTGAGACACTGCCATTTTTCATTTGCAAT